CTGTAGTGTTTCCCACATCCACGTCCATGGAACTTCTCTCCGAAGGAATTGACGATTAAACAATAACCAAAAAGTTCCACTTCTTCATCTTTACAGTAGAACGTCTTATCTGCAAGCAAACAAATTACTTCATTGGCAGTAATCCTAATTTTCAAGTAGAGGATAATCCGCTTGAGTTTAATTAAAGGAAGCGATTACGCTAGGTTCTGATTGGGCTTAGAGAGGAAGTGGGGGCCTAAATAGTACGCCTGTGGCGAAAAAGCAAAGAAATCCGAAAATAAGCAAAATAGTACCCCTTTGATTGCCCTTCATTTTCGACCATGGATGAGCGACGGTAAAGAACGACGTTGTTCGGACGTGTTAACCCCGATAGCCGCCATCATGCCAACAAGCATAGTGTTTGATTGATAAGGCAATACGTGGGCAAGTTGGAAGATACAGCCGCTAGAAGGGAAATGATCATCCAAAATGAAAAGCCAACAGCAAACAGTCCATCCAGATCAACAAAACTAGTGGGCGTAACGCACTGGGGCGGAGTGCACGAGGTCCTGCTCAGCAACCACAGCACCTTTCGCCGTGGAGCGCCACACATCGCTTCCTTGGCAGCCAAGTAATTGCTCCGTGTGGCGCAGGTTCTTCCCCGATGCGAAAATTCCTTATCGTAATCGCTTCCTTCAACAGTATTTTGATGTGATGACATTCACTCTGAGTCATGTCCATTCATTTGCCCGCGTTCGCCAGCGCAGTGACCTGCACACATATTGGGTTGTCCCATTATTTCTGGCCGAATTTCAACACTTAGATTTCTTCAAGTTTTATCTTTCCCAAAAAACAACCAAAAATATAACCACTATTATAATCCTTGTTGCATCCATTTCATCCATTTTCTAGTGAACGGATGAATGCATTCCTGCCAGTAAAGCTATGAGATGGAAAGCTCCAAGAGCTCGTTTCTGGCGCAGTTGTATTCCCTGACTGTTTTCTTTCGTAGCTGCTGCTTCAGGGGCTGATAGTACGATGGAGCAATGTCAGGCTATACGATAGATGTGGTGTCGTGGTCCAGCCAGTTTCCCTCAAACGTGGCGAGTTATCTTTGCAATGTGAGGTCGGGCGTTCATTTGGAGGAAGGAGATTTTGAGACGTTTCGAACCGTTCTCCGCACTGCTGCGGCCAACTTCGGGAACTATTCCATGGTTACCTTCGCAATGCTTGTCTGCATAAGTGAAGTGGTTCAAAACGGGATACCCAGCGAATCCAACAAATCAGGAGTAAATCTCTGATGAAAGAGCTCGGGCTTTGGTGAGATGGTGGGTCCAGGCTGCGAGGTAGCCACCAGGCGTGCCGCGTGTTGTCGTGGTGGACTCATGACTCATCTGCACTGGTGACCAACTAGGGAATGTCTTGTCTATACGGTCGCAGAATGAAACTTCTGCAGATGGTCAGGCGTGCTTCTCGGTCATGGTCAGTCGATGCATGCTGTTTCCATCGAGCTTCATTCTGCTACAGCCCCTTCCATTCAGGTGTCGACTCATGGAGCGTAGGCTGCGTCCAGATGTTTGCTACAGTTTCCTGCTAATAGCGTCCGGATGCACTTCCTATTGCGCAAGCGGTCCTCATCGAAAGTGACTGGAGGTCCGTGATGAGGTCGAACTTTGCAGCTCCTATCGTCTTTGCCGATGCTATTGAGCCAATAGCTCAGTGCCCGATCAGTAGCAAAGACTGGGGCAAACGTAGCGCTGATCTTGCCTACCGCGCTCCTTGCAAGGTTCTTCTTAAAATTGTCGTAAGGCATAATCGTTGGGTTTGGTCGTTGATCTATTTTGATTCCTACTTAATTATCCCGTTGCGCATTTGAGCTTCTGAAACATCCTGGCTGAAGGTCCTGATGTGTTCTTCAACATATCAACTTATTTCGTTATGAAGCTAATTTGACATGAAGAAAATTGAATTTGAACCAAAATCGGCTACGAATTGTGGGATGACGCAATAATTTCACGTACAGAGCATTCAAATCCCTGAGGACCCTGATACAAATTATTCGCCACTATTATGAAACGTGCACCTAGTATGTAATCATTCGAACCACTCCACTCGCTACACCTCAACTTTGTTCACATTCACTTCAAAATGTAGTGATTATATTTCCAGAAGAACACACAATTTCTCAAATCTAATGCATATCTGCCGAATTCCGTAGTATGACTGAGAAACCAAGAGGGGCTGCATGTCGTGCTTATCGTAAGAAAACTGTGTGCAAAACTTTTCTAGACGCGTAGCTTCCTTCATCTCATTCCTAGCTGTCAGTTCTCCTGGGGCTTTCGCAACGCGAAACGCGAAAAATTCGCTTTTTGTCCTAGTGATCCACACCCATACAACTACGATCGGCATTGAAATATTTGCTACTGAAACTGCTGTGCCAGATGCTGCCTGCCTCTTTCAAAGCCGTCCTGTTCATGGGCTAATTTCGACATTCTGCTTCAATTTTGAAGGGGCATTCACTCATTCTGTTAACTGAAAATATCACATTGTCATCATTGGGATTTGAAGGCGGTTTGTGAATGACTTGCGGCGAGCAGTCGATGTCTTGGGAAATCTCCACCAATGCTTACTCAGGTTCCATTCTCCCCTTAAAAAGAATGCTTGATCGTATCCGCTCCAGTTCCCATAAATTTAACTATAGGACGTGCGGGTGTTGGAAGTGCTGGGAATTCGGAGTCGATGAATCCGAACCCCGCGAATGTAATTTGACCGTCATGCTGAATTTTTAGGCATTTCACTTCAAAGTTGCTATCCACGTAGTCGGAAAAGTGGCAGCGGATGGGCAAGAGTTTTGGTGAGTAACATGTTAGCACTTACCAGGAAAGGCATTCAACTTCCCATGGAACTTTGAGATGAGACCCAGATATATCGATAGAGCTTCAAACGCTGATTACAAATATGGAAACTAAAACTGCAAAATGAACCTGCCAAGGAAGTTGTGAGCAGTCAAAGTTGGCTGGAAGTAAAGCATCACACTAGCCTCCGGGCTTTCATAGTCACCGCGGAGCAGTGGTGGTGCCCTCGCTATTCACCCTGGAGGTCATAAGCTCTCCTCCCGTCGGAGCGCAAATTCCGAGAGCACTACCACTACTCCACGGCGACTTTGAAAGCCCGGAGGCTAGTGTAATGCTTTACTTCCAGCCAACTTTGACTGCTCACAACTTCCTTGGCAGGTTCATTTTGCAGTTTTAGTTTCCATATTTGTAATCAGCGTTTGAAGCTCTATCGATATATCTGGGTCTCATCTCAAAGTTCCATGGGAAGTTGAATGCCTTTCCTGGTTAGTTAGCTGGTGCCGAAGTGTGTGTCAAGACATATCGCGGTATGAGTCAATCCCTTTATGACCACCCTTTATGGGCACATGATTAAAGTTTTTGGGGTATTTGGGCCCTTGCAGAGAATACAGTGCGCTGTAATATTTCCGCTTAGGCTTGAAGAAGTGCGTATGCCTCATACCTCATAACAATCACAACACAACAGTCCCGGCGACACCCGCATGTAGACCTTTTCAAATCCTCCGACCTCCATGTACTCTAAAATCCCACGTTTCGCCTAATTCAGCATCAGGCTTCGCTGCTGTAAAGATAAGGTCTGATCCCAACCTTACCCCCATCGGCTAGGAGAGCTAGGAAATACGGCAGAGATTTGCCGACACACCCACTACGAAACAGTGTTCTGTTCCATATCCATCCGAATTTGGCAGAAATTGACTAATACTTGAGTGATGGGAGGGGTGCTAGGCTGGATGGCGTACGATCCATGGTTTGATCCTGTAGCGTGTGGTGAGTGGCGTCCCCTTGTCACAAAGCGACTAAGTACCAGATGTGCAAACTGAAGTTCACATTGGTGACCCCGATGCTCCTGGCTAGGCTGTTGTGCTTTATGCATCCAGCAGAACGCATATTTCCAACATGCTTTATTTTCATAATTACCATGAATAAACTTTTCTATACTACAACTACGAATTACGTATACCTCAGCGGCTGACTGTCGAACATACCGTAGACACATTCAGTTGGAAATCCCTCTGTGACGTTTATAACATTGAAGGGAGAAACAGTCCTGCACAGGTCCCATGCCACATTCAAATTCGTTTTAATGTTGAACTTCAATACACAAGTCGTTGTTTTCTGCAAGTTCTAACAATCATTGAGTACATCAAGCAGTTGCAAGAGCTCATCTAGTTCGAGTAATAAACTATTAAGGAAGAAGTTGAAGGGATGAGGTCGAGCACAGCTCTGAAAACGACAACGTCCATAATATTTTGTAATATCTGTAAGGGCAGAGCACGTTAATCCCAAAGCAATGGCGGAACGATGCAACAGATTCTGCAAAAAGAAAAAGGCTTATGTGGCATGATAAAAGCTGAAGCCAGTAATGGTGAAGTATTGAATTGACCCAGAGATACTTTGCAGTCACAGGCCAATTCCTCTTGCTTTCTCATATGCGCTTCAAAATCTATGAGCCAGTCAAACAGGTAATTGATTCGTTTCAACAATGGTTAGTCTTTATTCACAACTTGTATATTGTGCGCTGCTCCGCAAAAAGCGTTAGAGGTTTCCGAACACTTATGTGTTGCATCCTTAGATTATGGGAACGTTTAGCCAACGTTACATCAAAGGTGATACTAATTCATCTAGCAGATAGGTGCGGTACGGTCCTGAGATCGCTTCGAATCCTATTGACTTCTTCAAGAGATGTACAACGGTTGCAGCGCTCGCTAATGACGTTTATCATCTGCGAGCCTGCAAAGGCATCCTCCCTCTAGGATAGTAAAATTTCCCAAAAGCCATTTTCTATAACTCTTATAAATATCAATAAATATAAGTTTTATGTACGTCAAGTAACGGGTGGATGTCGCTCCTCCAAGTGGTGCCACTGGAAACTGCTCACTTTTGTGAGCTGAGCTGATCACGGACATTCGAATGCAGGCGACAGGCCCCCGTGACAGGCCGGCCTACGAACACCCACGTCACATCTTCATGTCATGTAATGATCTCGAGATAATGCTACGGCGTCCGCGGGAGCCGACGCGCACTCGCAAAGCCCGGCGAGTGTGAAAAGTATGCGAGGGTCTCCGGTGCAAGGACTGCGTCACTCGCGTAGCGACGTCAAATCTCGGCACATTAACGGGCCACTCGTAGGAGTTAGCAGGAGCTCTAGAGCGCAGAGTGTTGGCCCGTGACTAAAGAGATTGAGGCTCGTCTCAGTGTAATGGAGACAAAAATGCTGCGCTGGACTGCCGGGGTCACGCGTTTAGACCACATTCGCAACGATACCATCAGAAAGCGGTTCGGTGTGGCTCCCATCGCTGATAAGATGCGCGAAGCTCGCCTGAGGTGGTACGGTCACGTCCTTCGCGCTAATGATGAGAGTGTCCGTAAGATCGGTCTAGACTTTAACGTGCCAGGAAAGCGGCCAAGAGGACGCCCGAAGCAACGATGGCTTGATACGTTGCATGAGGACTTGAAATTAGTTGGCCTTCATCCCGATCAGGCACATAATCGGGAAAAGTGGCGTCATAACACCAGGAAAGCGGACCCGCCGACCGGGTGAGACAAACGCTAAAGAATAATAAGAAGATACCCATCAAGTAACTTCAATCCTAATCTTTCCATCTATGATTGCTATTACCTGTATAACCCATCGTCCTATCGATTTTACTTTCATGAGCGTTAATAACGTCCACATTACTCTCTGCTGCGTTCCACAGTGCTCCGAAGGATTCTTCTCGTTCGAGGGACACGATCCTCATCACTCCTTCAGTTCAGAGCATTTGTGAAATGTCACCATGCTGACGACATCATGGTGTTTGTTCATCCAGCCAATAGTCGTTCTGATCCAGCTGTCACCAAAAATCTCATTACATGTTTTGCCTACCTAATCTGCCTGGTTTGAGACTTCGTGAAATGCTGGCACTCTACGGTTGGCGATGCTTGGAACCAGAGTCAACCCTGCGTTGCGCAGTTTTCAACGGCCACGTTGCGCAGTTTCGCCCGATTAGACACGTTCTCTCGCGCGAACATTCACACTCGCATGCTCGAGCCGTCTGTGTCTCCGCCCATACAGCGTGCGTTGAGGATCTCTCAACGTGCCGTTGCGAACTGCGCAACGCAGGGTTGACTCTGCTTGGAACTCGCAGCTAATGAAGGGATCATTTACAGTGGGCCGAAAGCATGAAGATAGGGTATGCTGGCGGTCATATACACGCTCTTCTGACACTCCATTTCCACCTTCTTTTCGTACACTATGTGATAGGGTACGATGTGTTCTTCCTATTGAGAGCAAATATTACACCGTCCTCGAAACTACGAAACAGCCACATTATAGATCGCCAAAGTTCATATGTCGATAAGGGGTGCTGGCACGCTACATTTAGCGGGAGTTCAACGTAACAGAGGAGCTCATACTCGCCACTACTGGCCGTTGGACACTCGATGGCTTTAGTTCTAAAGTACCATTTGCCATTAGGGAAACTGATCGTCATACTCTATTCACACCCTTTCATCGAAAATTTACATTCTAGTTGGCAATGAAGATTTGCCACCATTCATATCTAGGGAGGAATTTCAAGTCTCACTTGGTGAGCAGCTGAGACTTTGAGATATATCAAAAATTCTGTAAATCTTCAAAGGGATTTTACCACGTTTCCTTGTTATTTGCCCTTATGTCTGAGAAAGGGTTCTTATTGTTATCCATCACCAATTTCCTACCGTAATACATGCATAATATCATTATTTGCCAGTGCTGTACATGTGTCACGGCTAACGTCTGCAAATTATTTGGCGACATTTCTGTCTTTACTTCTTTCACCGTTTTTTATCTGTCACACCTGCCTATCACTTCCTGTCAGTTACCATCCGCTTTACATACTTCACATAGGTCCAAGCACTCTACTGTAAAGGCAAACGGCAAAACGGATCTAATCTCACTTGCATTCCGACACCTGTTAAGAGTTCTTGTCAGTTCGTATCATTTGCTATCACACAACCAGATACCCGTCTAACATGACACTTATAAGTGCAAAGATCCTATTATCAACACGAACGAGTTAAGGATTGGTGACATTGGTGTTGCGATGTCTGTCCGTCATCAGCCTTTGAAGGGACGCTGTGGGATTAGGTACGCTCGCCTGTTCCATCCCGGGGGTAGTAGACAGGCGGACAAGCGTTGATGTCGCCCCTTTTGCCGCTTGAAAGTGCGCGACAAAGGCGCAAGGAGCTCGTCCGACCCGCAACTCACACCTTCGTCCGCAAGCCCCACCCTTCGCTGTCGGTTGCCACGTGGCGCTGCTTGAAAAGCGCGGACGGTGGCCCCATTGCGACCCAATGTCACTGGCATCCAGACGAGATTCAGCGACAGAGTGAAAGCTCGTCCAACGCGCCCCTTCTCTATCCCAAGGTGGAATGCGGCTGAAATAGGGGAGGTCTCTGTGCGGGGCGTAATCGGTGGTTTCGTTTGCTTTCCTTCTCTTTTTCAGACCACCTCCCACCTCTAGCTTCATAAATGAACGCTTATCCCGAATCTTGCTTTTAATCCTTGTTGCTGGAGTTCTGAAAGCATTCCTCTCATGGGAAAAATGATGAATCTTCAGTCAGACGACGAACACGCACAACAGCTTTTATAAATATATAAAACGCTATGTATGTGTGTTTGTGTCGGAATTCATAGCGTCGCAGCAATGGTGAGACGTTGGATATTCCAAGTGTTATGGACGGGGACCCAAACGGTAGGTGACCTTAAATGAGCTGACAGGGAGGTTCATAATGTGACTACTCGCTGCGCCCTTTACAGCAACACATGAAAGTTGGCTTTGACGTATGGTTTAGTAGGCTAGACAGGGTCACAAATGGGAATGATCCAAAGGGATGACGACTGATAAAAGCTGATAAGGAAGTCAGAGTACGACTACTCCCAAACTACTAAGTGCCCAGTACATAAGCATTCTCCATTCCTAATCGAATATCAATAAAGCAGTATTCATCGAACCGCCAAACAATTTTCTAAATAGTGGCGAACGATCAGAAGGTATCAGATGCTCAGCAAGTGAGCACTTTTTGTTTCTACCTCAAGATCAATTCTCTCGCTAAAGTGACTGAACTGATGCTCCTTGAAGGAATCTCCCGCAAAACATAACTTCTTATATAGCAAGAAAATGAACAAAAATTGTAGAATACACTCATGTTGGGGCACCTGTGATCTCATGTCTGTAGTATGAATGATCTTCTATGAACCTGGCCGACCCGGTTTGACCAGGAGTTCCGACGGGCCGGGGCGGTATATAAACTGTAACTTTTGTTGTAACATTATTAATGGCTTCAAATGAATCTGCCTGCTCTACTCAACCAGACACAGGAACTTACAATGAGTTTTCCTTCACCAAACTGAAGAGGTCTTAAGCATAGTCGAGAAAAAAAGTCTGAAATTTCTTTTGATTCCCTTTTCTTGGTTTACGAAGTCCAGAATTTCATACCTAATTCTGCTGCTTTCTTTGTGAACATCAAAATAAGTAATAAGACGAGTGTGAGGTTTGAACACATTTCTGGAAAAATGAGTATTGTAAAACACCTATAACACTTTTTTTGGGGAGCATTTGAAGAGCATTCTTGCCAAAGCTGACCGCAGAGTGTTCCTATTATTTAGGTCATTAAAAACTAAGGATCCCATATCGCTTGTTAGAGCATACAAAATCTATGTACGTTCTGTTTTGGAATACGGCACTTGCATTTATTTCCCTTATAGCAAAGCCCTTCTCAGCAAATTAGAAAAGATCCAGAATAACTTTTCCAGAAAATTATTTATTAGAACACTAGGATTTACGTACAGGAGCATCCCTCGTGGGGTTATAAGGAACAAGATGCTCGGTTTAGACCCTCTGCAAATGAGGCTCAGGAGAAATGACATACTCATGGTGTAACATACTCAACCATCGCGTTGATCTTGACAGTCGCAACTTTTATAGTATGGTCCAATCCAATACAAGGGGAGAGAGGTTCAAGCTTACTTTTCGGCGGCCGCGTTCGTCGGTTGGGCGCAGGTTTTTCACGTGAAAATGAGCAAATTTTTCCCAATATTAACATCCTTTTCTACATTCAAAAGCAAGGTATCTCATTATCTGCGTTCCGTTCATTAATATATTGCCATGCTTCTGTATTCGGTTTTTCCGTCTCTCTCTTTTTTTTCTGATCGTTGTGTTTTATTACTTATTGTTGTAAACATGCAAGTAGCATGTAATAAATTGAATTAAAATTGAAATATAAATGCGGGAGTCATGTATAATCTGAAGACGGTCCCTCTTATTCTGGGACATTGCCTTTCGAATTTAGCTTTCGCTCACAAGTACGGTAGGAACGTCATATCAATTGCCCGCAAAGGAAATAACGTGGAACCGTCAACAAAGTTTCTTACTTATTCCGGGAATTTGATGACATAGCGCGAAGTTGTGCCTTGAATGGACTTTAATTCGCTGGAATCACT